AAATTCATTTTGCATAACTGTATGCATTTCAATTATTACAACATAATCTTTATTGATGAAAAAAGGTTGAAAATTTATACAAGCACTCAATTTAAACTAAACTAAAGATGGATAAAATAGATGCGTTAAATAGAATTAGAGGAGTTGCAAGGAGATCTATTAGGCAGGATTAATCCCCTGGTTAAGATTAATCGCTTTCATTTAGTTTGACAGGAGGAGGTCGGAGAGCACACTGTCCTAGCCCGCTAATTACAGGACAGACCCAACTAATTCATTCACACCTATCCACAACTGCCTTCGTAGCGGGCTGGGTGCGGCTATCTAGTTAGTGTCTACTGAGTACTGTCCTTAGGCCATTAGGTTTACACCTTAGTCTTACCTTGTGAATTTGTAAACAAGGAGACTTAAAATTTATTGAAGTTCGAATAGAACAAAAAAAAAAGTTTCTTTGTTGGGTACAGTGCCTTAAACTTCCAACATTCATTTCCATTTAATGTTTGATCTACATTTTGTTTACTTTATTTTTTATTCGTGCTATAGACCATGTAAATCTTTGGCCGCACCACGTGGTCTTATTACATCGCTTGTCGTACATATGTTGCTTGCAGTAGGGTCACCCAACTCCACGATTATAATTCATGGTCTCCATGATCCAGCGAAGGCCGCCACCCGTAGCCTTCCTATAGACTTACTTGGATTCAACTACAATGAAAAATCGGTCTAAATCCATGGATTATGGTTGCTCAAAGTCAGAATGTACACGAGAATCAATATTTCTTTTGCTGAAACACACCTACCATAAGTCCTACGAGACTAATGACATGAAATACCACCTCGCAATTCCTGATTTAGGTACACTGGTTAGGGAAATAAGTCCTATGCCTATTCGGTATGAATTGCGTCAAGCAGACTGATGGGGCTATCACACCCCAGGGTAGATGAGGAATCACGAGCAGAGTGGCTTTTCCTGGTAGACGGTCATCCGATGCAGAAGGCCACCCTTCTACGCTTGACGTTCTTACCTTTGCTTACCTATTGGAAGCGTCTTGGACTGCTCGGCTATTACTTCTGCCATTTACATTATTTATTGTATATATAATTAATATAAAAATGTAATTTAATTTTTACTAGTAATCATCTACTTTTATAGCAATAATCTACTTCTATTTTCCTTATAGAAACTGTAATCTACACATTTTTAGTAGTATATGTTTTATTAAATGCATCGCCATAAATTTTAAATGAATTCAGACTATTTTGTTTTTGCAGAAAAAAATAAATCCATGTTTTGAGACGATTTTAGCGAATTATATAACACATTGCTATCATAGTTATTCTTCAAATGCTAGATTCTCTGCTGGTCTTTCTAATAAACTAAATGTAAATTTACTTAGCTTTAATTTATATTTAACATTTTCCAACTTTAACAATATCCCACTTATCCTTGTCAAACAGATCCGCTACATCCTCACACAAGACTGAAACTACAAAATACAGCCGATAGATTCCTAGAACCCTCTAAACTGCCAATATACTACAAAAAGCTCATATCACCACCCTTATTAGGTCCATTAGGATATACGGAATTGAGCTTTGGGACTCCATGATATGCTCGGATTATTTAATCCTTACAATCCAAAATCCTTCGTTGATTCTTTAATGCTCCTCAGTACGTCACAAATGAAATTATTCATAAATACCTAAATATTTCATTCATTGCAGATTTGGCCTGAAATAGACATTCTTAATTCCTTGGTTACCAAACCATCCAGTTGATTAACTTTCATCCAAAACTATTCCAGACATCCCTCTGATGCATCCGCAAAGATGATGGGCAAGAGACCTCTTTAATTAGAAGTATTATTCAGTAGTTTCTTCTCAAGCTATTATCATGTTTTTTTTTTATTTATTGTTGTAGCATATTTAATTATTTTATTTGTACAATTATAAATTTCAATAAGTGAATAAAAAAAATGTCAGTAAACTAAAAAATCACTGCCCTGAAACTTTAGTTTAAAAAATGGCAGACTTAAAGTCTTATTCACTATAACATAGATAAAAATAGATACATAAAGTGTGATAGGACCAAAATAAGTTACCTCGGGGACAGGTCCGGCTTGCTGGAGCTGCTGCAGTAGTGGACGCAGGCCATGACCGCGAGGACGAAGGCGAAGTTGAGGAGGCAGGTGACGCCGATGACGAGGAGGACCTCGTTGCCGGTGTAGCAGGACTGCCGCCGGAGGTGGTGCCGTCCCCCGTGCCGCAGCCGGTGCCCCTCCTCCGCCCAGGCCAGCCGCCGGGTGACGCCTCTGCAACAGGCACAAGCACAAGCACTCTCAGCTGCCAGAACATCTCCAATAATATTTCAATGTCGGTCTTTATTAATAGAAAATAAGAATGTAGTGCACAAAACAAAAGAGTTAATATATGTGGCAGTGAATGCGCATTAAGGCAGTGTAAAGAGAGAGAGAGAATCAGATGTTTTTAGGAGATTGAAGGGAACAGTGATTAAAATAGGTGAAGAGACCTACGTGCGTTGGAGGAAACGTTAGTTCTCTCTTCTCTCTCTCTCTCTCTCTCTCTCTCTCTCTCTCTCTCTCTATCTCTGTAACTTCTGGAAGAAGCGGACTTATATGGATGAAGACTTTGGTATTTTTGTGCGTTATTTGGATCTATATTAGTTAATAAATTTTATATCACCTTTAGGTTAGTCCGTAAGTTCTTGTTGTTTAGTCATAAATAGTTAACTTTAGATTACTCCTTAGATTAAGTTTTATTAATTATCTGTAGTCTATTGTTTATTTAGAAATTTCATTGGGCTTTTTATAGTCTGTTCGGCTAAATTTTATACATCAATAATAAATGTTTTGATTTTGATTATTTATTTACAAAACAAACATTAGGTTGATAAAGTGTATAAGTGAGGTTTTCACATGGTTGTCTACTTAAGCTCGCGTATCCATGTACGCGATCTTAAATAGACGTCCATACGTTAAGACGACAATTATTACAAGAAGATAAATAATTAATTCATCCACACCTATAATACTGAACGACAAAAAAAAGGTTCTTATCCAAAAATAACTGGTTATTATATTTTTCCTGCTAGAAAATTGTCACGGAAAAATTTAATAAGTGGAAACCGGATTTTCGTGCAGTGAAAGACCCGAAAAGTGGAAAATTATTAACATAACAAGCAAAAATCGTAGTTTTTGTTTAATTTATAATATTCCTTCCATAATAAACTTCTGAACCATCCGAACACTTTTGTTTCGAACCTTGCTTCCTCTTCTATCCCTGATAACTTTTCGAGGCGTCTGAAAAGAAGATGGTATAGAAATATAATTGGAGTGCTACCAATGGGTAGTTTCTCTACATGTTGTACATGTCATGTTACCTATTGTATTTATCATTTATACAGTTGTAAATTTCAATAATAAAAAAAATATAATATTAGTTCTTTTTTATTCTTATGTTAAGTGTTTATCCTCGTTGTCCCCTAAATGCAAGTTAAGTATAACGTCTAGTAACCTGAAAAATATGTAATTCTAATTTAAGATGAATGACGATTAACCTAAAAAAATTTAGTTTATGGTGATTCCGTGGTGTTGGTTCAGTCAACAAACCGTGTTTTGTGTAGACATGTACTGCGCTACCTTACGGCAGTTTGGGGACCTTAGTTCACTACACTCGTTGTGCAGTTAGGTTTTATTTATTATTTTTCAAAATTCTTATTTTCATGAAACTTTCACTTGTATCTCAAGAGTAGTGTGTAGCAAGATACACAGTACAGGCCTACACAAAGCACATTTCTGCAGACTGAAAAAACATAGTGTATCCACCACGGAATCAACACAAACTAAATTTAACCCGCTGTTCCAAATTTACCCCATCTAACGGTAACCAGGATGACATCGGTCGGGACCGACCGTAATAGAAGTGATTCTTGTCAGTCTTAAGATTGTCATTCCACACTAACCGTGTGGGGTTCGCTTTACTACCATCGATACTTGTTTGATTTCTTTTGAAATTGACAGCAGATGGAAACACCAAAAACAAGAAACAAAAATACCAGCATTATAAAACAACCATTTATATATTTGTGTGTTCTCATAGATTGTGAAAAGTATAAATGGGCACAAACAAGAAACGGAAACACTAACACAGAGAAATTAACCATTTAGATATTCATGTTTCCCGTAGTTTATGTGTCAATCTTATTTTCAAAAGAATCCCAGATCTAGAGGAAAATCCTCGTCAGTTCTTGGACCATAGTATCTTTAGTTATAATAAAATAAACAAGGATTATATCGATACCTCTTATTTAAACATATTCTGTCAGGTTTCAAAGCATACAATTATTAATTTTAACATGGATATTATTATGTAGAAAATGAAGTCTAAATTGGGTTATATGGAAAAATGAAAATGGTCACATTTTTTACTTTTAAATTTGCGGCGCTAGATTTTTAATTATTTTTTTTTTAGAATATACAATGTTAATAAACCAAAATTGTAAATTATAGTTTAGTTAGTTTAATAAATTACCAATAATAATTCATATTTAAAAAAATATATGAACTAATAACAATTATAAATTAATAACAAAATAACCAAGAGACAGAACATAAATGTTAGGTTATAATTGAAAAATTCCAAACCATACAGCGCTATGTCTCCAAATTTTAAACAAATATAACATTAATCAAAATATAAGGAAAAGAACAACTTCCAGTACCTAGTTATTTCTTCGAAAGCAACTCAAAATTCTTTGAAGTAATTCGAAATTTTCAATTAATATACCTAATGTTGTTTTGAAATAATCTATATACAATATCGATTCATATAATAAAATAAAAATAATTACATTTTTAACTTAAACTGATTGTTCATTGAAAAATAACTTATTTAGAGTTCCTGGAAGACTGTAGGGGCCTCAAAAGTAAAACTTCTTACTTTCATTGGCTAAAATAGAATGCGAACTAATAATAGAAGTATAAATGAATAATATTCTCTCCTCAGCGAAAAATCCTTTTAATATCCTGACAGAGGTAGGTAAAACTTTTCAGATTATATGAATTTATAGGTTCTTATAAAATGAATTATTTTTCATTTTATTCATTTTCTTTTCAGGGAAATTTTCATCACGCTATCTTAGATGGTAACATCAATTCAGTCTTATTTCTTTCTCCTTAAACAGTTCTCATTTAAATATTAATTTGAATTGTAGATGAACAAATGCTCATTACTAAAGGTAAGTGAAATGTAAATTTTAAAAGGTATTTTAAAATATATCATTTTAAAAGGTTTAAACCTTAAAGTATCAAAACACTAATTTAGACCATAGTAAATTAAAACTAATGTAAGTAAAAGATGAAAAGTTTATCGGAGAACAAAAGTAAACAAACAAATTTGGTATGTTGTATCATATATTTACCACCATATGTATAATAATTACCTCTACTTCCGTTAAAAATTTATTTTTCAATAAGTTAATAAATCTTAGGAATATTACTTTAATTATAAATAAAAGTTAAAATTATCAATATAAATTATAACAGTTAATATTATGTTTTTAGCTGTTTTGAAGTTTTTTATTAGCTCTTATTTTTATCAGCTAAAATTGGACTTTTTTGTGAGTTTTTTATTGACTACAATCGATATAATAAATAAAGATTTTGTGTCATTTTAATGGTTTTATTGATTAATTTGACCGAAATTCATAAATATGTCCTTTCAGATTTAGCTCTATTAAAATGAACTTCAAAAACTTTTTTTTATAGGCCAATTTTGCCAGACAAGAATTTCTGTTCAAAGTAGAGCTGTAAGTGAAAGTTGTGTGATGTGCACAACTGATTGTTTATTAAATGATTTATTAATTAAGAAACAAATTTTAATAGCTCAAAGTTTTGGAAAATTGGCTCTCCTGGATAAATACAGAAATGTGACATGCGTCCTTTACCTTCTGAGAACACGGAAATATTTTATCATTTCTCCTAACTCTATTTGTCTCGCAGTAATAAATGTCGTTGGCTGAGAAGCAGTCGCCCGTGACAGTCTATAACAACCCTTTCCGATCTCTCCTTTTACCAGATTGGATCCCAACTTGGTTTTATTTTTCGTTAAGAACCACATCAGGTTTGACCGTTCTCGACTAATAGAGCTTCATCTTTCAACCTTACGGACCATTAACCCATTCTATGATTTATGCGCTTCCATACTTTCAGATATTTTCAATCTTGGCTGAAATTTCTCCACTGATAGAAAAGAGATATATTATTATAAAATCTATAAAGTTGAGAATGATAATATTGCCATGTATTTTAAGGACCACATGTGGCATATATTCAATTATTTCAAATGAAGAAATATAGTCTAAATCATAGTTGGTAACAGATGTCCGGTTACCCGTGGGAGAGTGGTTACTCAGAGACCCCCTAGCAACCTTTTAGCAGGGGCAATAGGACACTTATGGCCAGAGGTTGGCCAAAAACTCCAAAGGACTGACACCAGTCTTACGTGGGAATGTTTAAAGAGGATCGGAAAGCTTGTCTAAGCAAAGAACAGAAAAAGCACCTTCTAGAAAGAGGAAACAGTCGTATAACTGCTGGAAACGGCCTGGAGGGTGTGGTCATCTTTTATGCTACAAAAAGTCAACCAATGAGAGCCATTCCTGCCCCACCCTAGATATTGCGATAAAATGCACAGCACCGCTAGTTGCCTGGCAACCGGATAACAGAGATTTGACATGATTTAAAAAGTACGAGTTGGCGTCCTGGTGCCGGAGGGGATTTTAAATTCTCCGCCCTCACCCCTCGGTGAAAAAAAAAGAGATGCATAGAGGAGAGGTCTTATGGTCTTATGTCACTGCCCGGCCTAGAGGAGAGGTCTGATGTAGCAGAGTCTGATGTTTTCTTCTGGCTGGGGGACTGAAGCCTTGGCCCTACATGAACCATGACCAGATGATCTCAACTTCGTAGATGCAGCGATGACATCTACCAAATACACCACATCACAGACCATAATAGCTCAGTTGTAATTCCTAATCATAATGTTATAAAATATAAAATATAAAATATTCTCTTTCGCCTGTCCTGTTCAATTTGGCATTAGAACATGCCATTAGGGAGGTAATGCGAACCGAGAAAGGGTTGGATCTGGGCGGGGCAACATCCGTGCTGGGCTATGCTGATGATCTGGTACTGCTAAGCGAAGACGTTGAAACTATAAAACTAAATACGACAACGTTAATGAAAGCCGGGAAAGAACTAGGACTCGAATTAAACGTGGATAAAACAAAATATATGGTTAGCTGCAAAAATGGCGATACTACTGGTGATATCGATATAGATGGTAATATGTTTGAACAGGTAGATAAATTTAGGTATACAGGTTCTACGATATCTAGAAAAAACGAAATTGAAGAAGAGATTAAGGTTAGACTGAAGGCGGGGAATGCTTGTTATTTTTCTGTGACAAAACTACTTAGTTCGCGCCTCTTGTCTCGAAACTTAAAAATTAGAATCTATAAAACAATTATCTTGCCTACAGTTCTTTATGGATGCGAAACTTGGCCGCTTACATTAAGGGATGGCAGCGTCTTAAGGTTTTTGAAAATAAAGTATTGCGTAGAATATTCGGACCGAAGAAGGATGAGTTAACCGGAGAGTTCAGACGATTACACAACGCCGAATTGCGTGAGCTGTATCCGGGTAATATAATTGAGGTAATTTCATCGCGGCGAATCAAATGGGCTTGTAAAGTTGTTGGGCTTAGTAACGAGAGAATTCCTAAAAGGTTAATATTTGCTGTGCCGAATGGTAAGCGTCCGAGGGGTAGACCGAAGCGAAGATGGGAAGATTGCATTAAAGCCGATCTGAAGGGACTGGGTTTGGACGGCGAACGGTGGAGGGAGGTGTGTAACAAGCGATTGGTGGTGTCGGCATCGAACCTTCGGGTTCGCTAAGCCTTATTATTATTATTATTATTATAATGTTATAAAATATTTCATGGCAATATAAATTTCAAAACAATCCATCTGAAATTATGCCCTCACAACCCATTGTTGAATTCATTAATTCTTGTAAATATAATGTATATATATTCTTTCTTAAATATAGAAATAAAATAAGTTTGTAAATAAAAGTTATTTTAATCATGCCACCTGTTTATATCATTATTATCACAGGTAATGTTTCGTAAATAAAAAGCAATACACACCAGCCTTTATGAAAAGTAATCCAATTAATTAATCACAGACCAAATAGGTTAAAGAACCAAATTTATTTTACTAATTTTTCATTATTAATTTCTATTAAACATTTCTGTGTACTTACCAACAATAATTATCCAGTGGCGTCCCGAAAAATTCTAAAATCCCAAAGGGGAACGTATCAATATTGATATTATATATTAATTGCAAGAAAATTATCTATTTCAATAATTACATTTTAATATAAAATTTTAAATTAAGTTTGGTCTGTTTTCATATTGGTATAAATATTTCTATTTGAATACCGTCCGACAGTCTTGTTACATCTATTAGGAATGAGTAATCAAGAATATGTATAATGTTCGAACGATAAGCTTTTATAAATAGAGTAATGATTGAAGATAAGCGATTGAAGTATTTCTTTTGGTATTCAGATCAATATTTAATAATAAGAATTAAATTATTGTTATAATTAAATGGTTGATATATTTCAACATAGATGAATATGGTTCTGGACACTTGAAAGATTCTGATTGAACGTGACGTGAAGTAGGTAGATATATTGAGATCGTTTTAAATAATCTGGCCAGAATAATAAGTTGGATATTTAATTTCTTGTTTTTAATATTATTTTATATAAATACGTTTATGCGTGCGTGTAGTAAACTAAGGATTTTGACGTATGTTTCCTTTGTGAAATTTATGTTTTTTTGTAATTTTAGTGCATTAATGTTTTGTTTTTTTTGCAATAAATAAAGTTGAAATTCATAAAAACGTTCTTATAGTTTAGCCCTATCAAAAATTTACTTAAAATTTATTGCAAGAAGCCCCTTCTTCTGTAATACGACAATGCTCAAATGTGAAATTTTAAAACGTCTTTCGCCAAAGTACCTTTAATATGTTTAAAATTAACTAATTAACTGTTACTAATTATTAGAAGAAATAAAAAAATGACTCGATATAAACTATACAACTTAGCTATTAGCAATTTAATTTTTTGAATTTTTTCAAAAAATTCAATTGCTTTTATTTAAATGTCATTTTTTTAAAAAATACATGATTTTACTTCTATGAATACTACATAATTTTTTCCAAGATACGAATTATGATCAAGTTTTTAAAAATCAAAATAGACGTAAGATACAATCTAATTTACACACATTTAGTATTTTTCTTTTATTCTAGAACTTGTTTATTAAGAATTATTTCAATTTGAATCAATTAAGGACATTTATAATAGTGTTGAGTGAGCACATTCACATTCTATGTACATAAACAAAAATAAATTAAACAGCTAAATAATAAAACTAAAACTAAATGTAAATTAACAAAAAAAGCAACAACAACTGAACTAATCAAAATAACAAATTAAAGACAAACATACTTTTACACAATATTAACAAAATTCATTCATTCAGGGAATCTCCGAAACAAGCCTCTCCGTCCACTCGTGGATGGAAAGGCAGAACTCTAGGGGATCCCAGCCCCTCTCACTCAGCCATATTAATGGCGTTTAAAATTAACTAATATATTTTTAATGGTAAAATTCAGTTAATCTTGTGTGATCCAGTTGTATATAAGTTTATTTTTGAACGAAAAATGTTTATACTCAGAAAAATGGTTTGAATACATAAGCAGCATATGGACGAAAAAAATAGATTGCCAGAGTTTGATACTGGATAAGAAAGACTTTATTGTATAGGTGAAATATGATTAATTAATTCCAAAACCAAAATAATATTCTATTTTCGGTTTCGCAAGTATAGAAATGAGGAAAAATATTATAATGAGAGGTTAGTAAAGCTAAAATCCTGCCAATATATAAAAAAATCAATTACGATACGGTTGCCTTTGAAACAGCTGCCAAGAGAAAATTCTAGCAAGGAGGGCCTTTTCTTGGGGATTCCCTTTACTGCCGCATAAAAATGAGCTCCTCATTCCGTAATTATTCCTCTCCTTTGTCCTTCCAGTGCTAATTAAACTG